AGGTCGCGAGGTTCCAATCATTGTACTTCGCGAGGTCGCGGAGTACATGATAGACTTATTACAAACTTGAGACTTATTACATGTAGATATAAAGGAAAGGGGGTACAATGATTTAATTCTAGCCATCAGTATCATGTAATCTGTGGCACCTAAGGCTTGGGCGTCCTCATTATGAGGCACTTAAGTCCATTGTTCTAAAACTCGCTAGGCGCTAGTCGGGCAGTTGAGGGGCGCCTAGCGCCTAGACGGCCGACTAGGCCGATTTTTTGGCCGACTAGGCCGATTTTTTGACCGACTAGGCCGACTAGGCCTCTACAGTTAAGGCCGACTAGGCCGCCTAGGCCGATTAATCGGTCCGCCTAGGCCGATTTTGAGAACAATGCTTAAGTTTGTTCTTCAATATTGTAATCTCTCTTAAAGTAATATAAGTGATATTCAGTTCTGTTTTGCTTGTTGTCTAGGAAAGGCACACAAGTTACCTTCATATTCATCCAACACTGTGTTTCATAAACCATTTCAATTAATTTTCACAGATCTGTGGGGCCCAGCTCCTATCCTATCCTTTGATGGATATTTTTACTACATAGCATTCATAGATGCTTTCACTAGATACATTTGGATCTATTTTTGAAAAAGAAATGTGATGCTATCACTACTTTTCAAAACTTCTATCAACTTGTTCTAAATCATTTTTCTATATCCATTAAATCTGTTCAGTCTGATTGGGGAGGAGAGTTTAGATCATTCACCATCTTTCTTACTGAAAAAGGAATTACTCAGAATAATTTGTCCACACACACATCACCAAAATGGTGTTGTGAAGAGAAAAAATAGAACTGTTGTTGAAAAAGGTCTGTCAATCCTAGCTCATTCTTCCTTGCCCTTTCAATTTTAGGACACTGCCTTTGCAACCTTTGTACACCTCATCAATAGAACCCTATCAAAGTCCATTTCAAATTCCAGTCCTTATTTCAAACTCTATGGGTCAATACCAGATTATAACTTTCTTAGAGTCTTTGGTTGTCAATACAAAATGGATTTTCACTCAGAGGAGTGCATTTTTATAGGATATTCTTCCCAGCACAAAGGCTATAAGTGCCTTCCCAAGTCTGGCAAAATCTATATTTCCAGAGATGTTATATTCATTGAATCAAAATTCCCTTACTCCACATTATTTCCACCCAAAGTTTCCACACCTCAAAATGAACATACACCAACTTCTGCCACTCTAACCATCTTACAATCTCATCCATTAAATCCTCCCGACTCATCTCTATCATTCCATATTAACTCACAATCAACCAATTCTCAGAATTCATCAAATCAGTCTCATTCTTCTGACAATTCATCAAACCAGTCCCATCCTCACAACTCACAGTCCACTCCCTCCCATCAGTCTCAGCCAACTTCTTCACATAACTCTTCACATCAATCATCTAATTCACTTTCTACTTCATCCTCTTCCTCCCTGTCTTCTCCTCCTCTTGTTAACAACCATCCCAAGCAAACTATAGCCAAATTAGGAATTGTAAAACCTAGACTACATCAAACCTTGTTACTTGCCCATATTGAGCCCAAGTCAGTTAAGCAGGCTCTTTCATCCCCTCAATGGTTCAGTGCTATGTAGTCTGAATAGAATGCACTAATGGAAAATAAAACCCGGTCATTGGTTTCACTCCCACCTGATAAACATGTTATTGGCTGTAAGTGGGTTTTCAGGGTATAAGAGAAAACTCTGATGGCAAGATTAGTGGCAAAGGGTTTTCATCAAAGGTTTGGCTTTGATTTCAGTGAGACCTTTTCACCTATTGTTAAACCAGTTACCATAAGCATTCTTCTTACCCTAGCTGTCTCTCACAACTGGTCTATTCAGCAGCTTGACATTAATAATGCCTTTCTGAATGGAAACCTTGATAAAGAAGTTTATATAATACAACCACCTGGATTTCAATCTGAAGACCCTTCTCTTGTCTGTAAACTTCACAAATCCTTATATGACCTAAAACAGGCACCAAGAGCATGGTTTCAAAAACTCACCTTTGTTCTTTATGCAGCAGGATTCAAACAAAGAAAGGATTCAAACAAAGCACCTGTGATCCTTCTCTGCTTCTTTTTCTGTCATCTGACATACAAATCTATATTCTAATCTATGTAGATGACATCTTAGTTATTGGAAATAACTCCATAGCAGTCCAAAATCTCATCAACAAACTTCACACATCCTTTTCTCTCAAACATTTGGGAGAAATTGACTTCTTTCTAGGCATTGAAGTCAGAAGACTAAGAGATGACAGTCTTCATCTATCTCAAACAAAGTATGTTAGGGATCTATTACATAAGGTTGGCATGCTTGACTCAAAAGGAGTCAAAACACCCATGGTAAGTAGCTGCAAACTCACAAACACATGATACCTTACCTGATCCATCTACCTACAGATCCATAGTTGGTACTTTACAATATGCTACATTAACCAGACCAGAACTTAGCTATGTTGTGAACAAAGTTTGTCAATTTATGGCCACACGTCTACAAGATCACTGGAAAGCTGTCAAGCATATCCTCAGATACCTGTCTGGTACTATCACACATGGTATTATTATCAAACCTCTTCCTTTGAGAACCATGTCCATGCCTATTTCAACATTCTGTGATGCTGATTGGGCTTGTGATCCTGTTGACAAAAAGTCCACATCTGGATCTTGCATTTTTCTTGGTCCAAATATCATCTTTTGGTGGTCCAAGAAACAACTGAAAGTTGCCAAATCTTCAGCAGAAGCTGAGTACAGAAGCTTCGCAGATACATCATCTGAACTCCTATGCATTCAATACTTGCTCAAGGAACTCCAAATACCATTCACTACTCCAAGAGTCTATTGTGACAATCTCAGCACTGTCCAACTTGCACACAATCCTGTGCTGCACACCTGGATCAAACACATGGAAATTGATCTTTTCTTTGTCAGGGAAAAGGTTCAGTCCAAGCAACTTGAAGTTTTTCACATCCCAGCTCCTCAACAACTTGCTGATGTCATGTCAAAGCCATTGTCTGCTTCAACCTTTCTTGATTTCATAACAAAACTTAGTGTGATTGATCTTCCAAATCAATCATCCTAATTTTGAGGGGGAATGTTAGGAGTAGTGTACGGATTGTAATATTCTTCCTTCTGTTTGTTAATAGTCAGTTAGAGCTGATATAGTTTGTTAGTATTCTGTTAAAGCTTCTGAACTATAAATACTTGTACTCAGATTCAGATTAATAAGATTAGTTTTCATTCTCTTCCAAATCTCTTTCTTATTTTTAATTTTGTGTGTATATATATATATATATATATATATATATATATATAGAGAGAGAGAGAGAGAGAGTAGTCTTCCGGTCAGGTATACCTGACCGGAGCCCCGTCCGGCCTCCTTCATTTGGGGGCCTTCCCGGTGGTATTTTTTGCTCAAATTTTTTGTGTAGGTTCCTCGTCAAGTCTAGTTCATCCATACCAAATTTCAGCCAAAAATTCAATCGGGAAGGTCGTCAAATGATTTTTGCAAGTTAACTGGTCCGGAAAATACATATTCCGGACCAGTTAACTTGCAAAAATCATTTGACGACCTTCCCGATTGAATTTTTGGATGAAATTTGGTATGGACAAACTAGACTTGATGAGGAACCTACACAAAAATTTGAGCAAAAAATACCATCGGGAAGGCCCCCAAATGGAGGAGGCCGGACAGGGGGGGTGGTCCGGCCTGGCCGGACCTGAATATTAGTCTATATATATATATATATGTATATATATATATATATGTATATATATATATATATGTATATATATATATATATATATATATATATATATATATATATATATATATATATATTAGTGTTGGCCGGGTTTCGGTTCGTTGACTGGGCTGACCCTCCGGTAATCATGATAATATATTCATAGTAACTTTGGTCACATTTATCAAATAAATTTATTTTAATAACATTTTCATAAAAATCTCCTTAATTAATGTTACCTCCGTCCCATTAACATTAGAATATTAGAAGGTGACACGATCATTAAGAAAAGTGATATTATGTGGTTGATATTGAATTGATAAAGAATGATTTAGACACACATTTTACCAAACTTAGTATGAGACAGTCTTAGTGGGACGATCGAAAAAAAAGATGAGATAATCTTAGCAGGACGGAGGGATTGAAGTAGTGAATATGTAAATCTAGTAGTTAATAGATAAAATAAAGGGTCTGAGGTAGTATTACATAAATATATTAGTTAAAATAATGGATCAAAGTTGATGACAGAGTATTGGATACATTAAGATATAAAAAATTACACTTTAAATTTTCAATATGAAGAAATTTCTCAAAAACTGGTTTAGTTACTACAAAAACAAAAGTTGAAAAATAAGTTGATTGATAAAATAATACTAATAATAATAGTAATAATAATTATAGAACATTGAAATTGTGTAGCTAATTCATATTGTAGGATATATTTTTAATATTTCCCAGGTTCACAACGATGGGAATAACAGTTTAGTAGGAAGGAATCCTACTAATCGAAGTCTCCTAAGAATAAGGGTTCTTTAAAGATTCTGAGATCTCTAAGATATTGCATAACAAATACTCTGTAACATTCATATCTTCTCACTTTCCTTTTTTGGCCGTAACATTCATATCTTCCCATTTCTAAATCTTCTCATCATACCCTCAATAATTTTAAAAATAATACACTATTACAACTACTTTTTTTTGGATTTATCCTTCATTCCATCACATCATTTAAGTATCTTCTCATCATACCCTCAATAATTCATATCCCCTTTCACTATTCTTAATCTACCTACTTTTGAAATGAGAACATATTTACGTTACGGAGGTAGTACATTACTAGTGAATTAGAGATGTGCAATAATAACTAATAAGTAAAATAATCTACACTATTGAACTTAATCTAAAATTAAATGCCTAAATTTGTGAAGGAAATATGATCCTTACCTCGTTCAAAAGAGAGTTTGAATTGCAATGGTTGATAGAGCATATTTGGTTGGTTTGCCCAGATTCAGAACTGATGAAATCAAACAACATTCACATGATAAGATATTTAGTAGGGGTGAATTTGAGTTTTTTGGTTCGATTTTGACCAAAAATCAAATACGGAATCAAAGTAGAAAGTTCAGCTCGGTTTCGGTTCAGTTTTACATTTCAAAACTTGAAACCATGATTTGACACTGAGAACCGCCTCAAATGGTGGCGGCCGGACAGAGCCTCAAGGGGTGATTTGCACTTTTTAAGTAAGTTCGAGGGCCTATTTGACTCTTTAGCCTAAACTAAATAAAACATAACACAAAAATTATTTTTTAGCGCAGAAGCATTGTGATACTCCTCCAATTGGTATTGACTACAATATCTATAAAATATTATTATTGAGTAAGGGTGGCAACGGGTAGTACAATACCCATACCCGCCCGCCAGTGACTTTACTAAGTGGATACTCCCGCCCCGCCTCGTGACCCACACGGGTCTTGAGATGTTGCCTCATGACCCGCTCTGCTATAACTTAATTAGCTATGATGTGTTTCTATTTATGTCAAGTCACTATAAATTAAATTTAAATAAATTTTCTCCAATAATGATAAAAAAATAAGTAAAATAAATCATGTCACAATACAATGAAAGGTGTAAAATTTAATCTAATTATATAAAATGAATCTCAATATTAAAAAAATATTGATAATTCATAATTAATGGTTCATTTCATTCAAATACAAGCACTAAATTCATATGTTACAACACCAAGGAATTTATTATTTATTACACACACATATATATGTATGTGTATGATTTTTAAAAAATATATGTATATTTATACATTGAACAGGGTGGGTCGGGGCGTGGCGGCACAGGTCATGCTCATAGCAAGACCCGCCCCACATTGTGTGCATGAGGCATGTTAGCAGTATTAAATAGACTATCATTACTGTTACAGTTAGTTAGAACGGCTTGTGGTTTCTGTTTAACTACTGTATTGTATAAATACTTGTAATCTCACACATTATCAATAAGATGAATTCATTCTGATCTTCTTCCAGTCTCTATATTCTATTATGGTATCAGATCTTAGCTCGTTCCAACCATGACGATCTCTACCTCTACATCCGAAACTTCATCTTCCTCTCAAACCTCTCAAACTTCTCCAGTAATCTTTCATCATCCGCTACCAATCAAACTCGATTCGAACAACTTCCTGCTATGGAGGCATCATGTTCAATCTGAGATACGAGCACACAAGCTTCTTCAATTCATCGAAAAACCTAAAATACCAGAACGGTTTGCTGTTGCTGATGACGGATCAAAACTCATCAACAAAGCTTACAGCACCTGGGAACAACAAGATCAGATGTTGTTTTCTTGGTTACTAGCGTCGCTTTATTGATTCCCTTCACGCTCGTGTCATTCATTGCAAGCATTCACACCAGTTGTGGAATGAAATTCAGAAATTCTTTCGTTCTCATGTCGTTGCTAGGGCTCGTCAACTGAAATCCGAATTATATAACACTGGAAAAGGCGATCGTTCCATTTCAGATTATCTCCTTCGAATTCAGACTATAATAGATAACCTAATTCTGGTTGGCGAATCGATATCTACCAAGGAACACATTGATGTTATCCTTGAAGGTCTGCCAGATGAATACGAGTCGCTCGTGTCTTCTATATCTTCTCGAAGCACATTGGATCCAATTACTGTATCAGATCTTGAATCTCTTTTCCTGGCAAAAGAATTGCGTCTGAAGAAACTTCGTGACTCATCTCAACAAACATTATTCTCTGCCAATGTTGCACGAGTTGACAACTCTTTACAAAACTTTGATAATGAACCACAAAATTTTTCAGTAGATGCTTCCGTCCAAGTAGCTCAGTTTGATGACACAGGTGGCTCTTCTTCCTACAGAGGTAGAGGTCGAGGTAGTTCTTACAAAGGCAGAGGTGCTCGGACCGGTGGTCGTAACCCTGTTACCTGTCAAGTTTGTGGCAAGAATGGTCACAATGCACTCATATGTTATCACAGATACAATCCAGCCTACTGTGCCACAAATACTTCCCAATCCTCACATCAGAACCAATCTTACCCCTATTCTCAGCCTCAGAACCAACTTTCTCAGCCTCAGAATCAATTTCCTCAGCCTCAGAACCAATTTTCTCAGCCTCAATACCATTTCACTTCTATACCTAACCAACCAGTTAACTTTCATAACCCTGTCACACCAAGATACTCATCAACTCCTACACATCAACTCCTACCTCTAATCCTACTGTTCCAACTGCAGCTTGGGCATGTGTTAACTCTTCAATACTAGGACCACCACCTAGTAATCAGAATTGGTTCCCAGATTCAGGGGCTACTCACCATGTCACACCTGATCCACTCAATCTACAGCATAGTGAGCCTATTGCTACTACTGATAAGCTCTTTATGGGCAACGGCCAAGGTCTGGAAATTAAGTCTGTTGTTTTTTCATCCTTCCCATCCCCTTATCATTCATCTCTTTCATTATCTCTCAACAATATCTTACATGTTCCTGCAATAACCAAAAATCTGGTCATTGTCAGTAAGTTTGCTAAAGATAATGTTGAAGCATTTGTCCCACACCGGAAAGCTATAAAACAATTAAACACTATATAAGGCTTTGGGCTACTCCTCCTATCAGGTTGACCTTTTAGGATGGAACCCCGGGTCTTAACATGGTATCAGAGCCAATTCCGGTTGTGGTTTGACGGCTTGTTTAGCACCCATGATTAAGGGTAGCTTGTTAATTCAGGAGAGTGAAGATTCATATTATATAAAACTACATGGTATCAGAGCCTTAGGGTTTGATTCCTGTTAATTGCCCTACTGCGTTCTGAGTTTTTTTTTCACTCTTCTCTTCGGATCTATTTTTTTTAACTATTCCTCTGGTTAATCATGTCCAAAGATTCTGGCATGTCGAGTCCATCATCTGACCCACAAACCCTATCACCAATTCCTTCCAGTCTGGATGTTAACTCGTTTCAGGCTTTACAAATTACGGTGGTCCGGCTTAATGGTCAGAACTATTCAGAATGGGCTCAATCGGTCAAGCTTGCCTTGGAGAAGAACCAGAACCTGCACCAACTGACCCTTCTTTCAGGCGATGGCGATCTGCCAACTCCCTGATTGCTAGTTGGCTGCTCAATTCCATGGACGAACGGATCCGTCGGCCGTTCATGTATATGGATCCTAAGGATATATGGGATTCTGTTCGTGAGGCATACTCTAATCGTGGCGATTCATCTCAAATATTTGGGTTGAAGAAAAAACTTTGGCTCTCTAAACAAGGTGACAGAGACATCACTACTTATTTCAATGAGATGCTCTCTCTGTGGCAGGAGTTGGATTTATGCTATAATGATGACGTTTGGGAAAATCCCAAAGATCTTGTACGTGCAAAACGCAGAGAGGAAGATGATCGTGTCTTCATGTTTCTTGCTGGCGCCAATCACAGTTTTGACGAAACTAAAGGAAGAGTTCTTGGCCGTAAGCCCCTACCAACGGCCAGGACTGTTTTTTCTGAACTTCGCCAGGAAGAGGCACGAAAAAGGGTGATGTATGACCATGCTCCCTCAATTCCAGAGACCGACAACATGGCTTTGGTTTCAAAGCGTTTTAATGGTGCAGGTGACAAGAAAATGCCATTCTCTTGTGATTTCTGTGGGAAGTTGTGGCACACAAAGGATAAATGCTACAAGCTTCTTGGGAAACCATCGTCTACAAAAAAGAAGGGGGACGGGAGAGCTACTGCTGCCATGGCTGAAACTTCTGAAGAAAAACAGCTTCTCCAGAACCACTACCTTTCACTCAGGAACAACTACAGCACTTGTATAAGCTTTTTAACTCTCCACAATTCACACTTAATTCATCTTCTTCCCCTGCTCCATCCCAGAAAGGTATTCCTTCCGCTTTTGTTTGCTCCACTCCTTCGAGTTCTTGGATCATTGATTCTGGGGCTACGAATCATATGACACATTGTTCGCAATTATTTTCTTCCTATGAACCTGCAGCAGGGAATAACAAAGTGAAAATTGCTAATGGCTCTCTTGCTGCAATTGCTAGCAGAGGGACAATTCAAATTTCTCCACCTATCACTCTTTCTAAAGTTTTTCATGTCCCTAAATTGTCATGTAACTTGCTGTCCATTAGCAAAATAACCCATGAGCTAAACTGTCTAGCTATTTTCTCACCCTCTATGTGCTATTTCCAGGACCTGAACTCGGGGAGGATGATTGGCAGTGCTAGGGAGTGCGACGGGCTGTATTATCTTGAAGATGGACTGCCTTCAAGTATGGTTGCCCAAGAATCTCCTCATAAATTAGAGTCTGTGTCTACTGATCAAGATATTATGTTATGGCATTTTCGTATGGGTCATCCTAGTTTTTTTTATTTGAAACGATTGTTACCTAAGTTATTCATCAATAAAGATCCATCTTTTTTTAAATGTGAAGCGTGTGCTTTAGCTAAACATCACAAGTCTTCTTATCCTTCTCGTATTTATATTCCCTCTAAACCCTTTAAATTAATTCATAGTGATATTTGGGGTCCATCTAGGATCCCTACTTCTTCTGGTAAAAGGTGGTTTGTCACTTTTATTGACGATCATACGCGTCTTACTTGGTTATTTCTGATGAAAGACAAACATGAAGTAGTCGATATTTTCAGAAAATTCTACAACATGATCCAAGTTCAATTTAATGAGACGATTAAAATATTTCGTAGTGACAATGGTCGGGAGTATTTTTCTAATACCCTGACTCAGTTTTTCAATGAAAAGGGAATGATCCAACAAAGCTCATGTGTTGATACGCCACAACAAAATGGTGTGGCGGAAAAGAAAAATAGACACCTACTTGAAATCACACGAGCATTATTACTAGCTAATCATGTTCCTAAATATTTTTGGGGAGATGCCCTTTTAACTGCTGTTTACTTGATTAATCGCATGCCCTCTAAACCTTTGTCTTTTCAAACTCCTATCCAAAAATTTCATGAGTTTA